TGAGGGCTGTGGCGTTCAAATGGTTTACGTCTCTTTTTACAAAGTGAAAACCAGTGTGTTAGATGATTTTCTCAGGAATTAAACCAGGGAGAAAAATAGTATAAACATGTTGGCCAAAGATGCTATAGGGTAACTTGAACACCATCCCCCACCCCACTCCCCCCCCCATTTGACAGTCAGGAGTCTGTTCTCCTTCATTTTAAATAACAAAAAACCCTTATGGACGCAATCAGATGCCTGCAGGGCTCTAGCTGGCAGCACTGCATTATGGAGGGGAGGCAAAGCGGTGGGAAGCCAGGAAGCCCTGAATGTCCCAGTTAGGACTGGGGCAGTGGGAGGGTGAAGTTACAGCTCCAAGCTGGGTGTGTTACTGGTAGATGGAGGAATTGGGGATGGAGGTTACTTCTTTGTAATGCCAGTAGCTCAAGGCATCTCCCATCAGGAGTATTGACCATCAGGTCTCTTGCCCTGTCCCAACAAAGCAGGTCTTTGGTAACTGCTGGAACTTCTCCAATTTACATGTGCTTGTTTTCTCAGCCAGTTAAACAAGCTGCAGAGATTTGCTGTGTCATGTTGCTGAAATGTGATTGTATTCCCCCAACCCTGGAAACCCCTGTGTCTCAACTTGTGGAGCTCTGGGAAGCTCTCCCTTCTGACCCCAACAAGAAGGGCTCCCCAGGCCTTGATCGTGCTTTCTCTGGTGCACGTGTGTTGCACTAAGCAGCTCTATGAAATGGGAGAAAGAAACTGAAGCTGAAACATCAGGGTGACAAAACTTGATGGTTTTGTGTGTATTTGAGGAAGCTTTTCAATTGTACTGATTGTAGTAGGGTTTTCTTTAAAGGGCTGGGGTAGTTCACAGTCTCCTAAAACATAAAATACTGCTTGTAATGCATCATAATACCCAATCCTTCCAAACGGGTATTTAATCAGGATAATGGGATAGTAAAATGAGAGTGGTTAGAATAGTGCAACTGAGCTGCTTATTATTAGAAATGCTGAACAAGGGGCCTGGAGACTGATGGCAAAGGAGCCGCTGGTTGTTCATAGGAACTTCTTTATCTAAGATTCATGACAGGAGGTTAATGACATCTTGCTCCAGACCCTTTTTTGGCTCCGGGACCCCTGCCAAAGTTTAGACTCCCGTTCTGAGTGTTGACAGGCAGAGAGAGCACTTCAAAATGTGTTATGGACATAATTAGTTACTGTTATCACAGTTTTCTTAATTAGAATATCATAAAAAGGGGAAGTGTGATCATTTACATGGAACAGATCGGAAGAGCAACGATTCTAAAGGCCAGAGACTGAATGCCAGAGAGAAGTATAAAGGTTATCTGCCTTTGGGATGAGGGATGCTGCTCACCTGGGGCATTCAGAAGGATGCCTGGAGGTGCTCTCACTGATGACTGAACTTTTCTTTCTCTCAACTTCCCACTAACTCAGCCAAATTGCACAAGCAATTGCCCATCCATCTCCTCCAGGATGGCTCACCCGCTGCCAGGATCCTTGTAAGGCTGATAACTTGCAAATGTTAAAAGGAAGCTTGTTTTTAAAAAGACAGGTTCTTTCATGAGCTGCATTTTTCCTGCTGTTTCTAGACAAGAGGATCCAAGACATCCAAGTTATTTATTTTCATAATTGTGGGGAGAAACTAGAAACCCATTATAAAAGAGAAGCAAGCAACTAAAGAAAACTCACTTATTTTATTGTTATCTTTTATTCTTTATCAGCGTTCTGCCTAACTTCTCACACATGCCGGTCTTAAAAAGGCAAAATGCCACCTCTGCTTCAGCACTGGCTGCTCCCAACCTCCACACCTGATTGAAAACTGCTTCTCTAAGCTCTTTTCCAAATCAATCTGCTCGAGTCCACACCAACCTATTTGCAGTCTTGGTTGTCTCTGCCATGCATGAGGTCTGCTTTACCAGAACTCTGGGGCATGAGATGCCCCCAGTTATTTCTTGGGGACTGTGAATATGAAGCTTGCAACAAAAATTCCCACTGATTACCAAAACTCCAGGAGCTCTTCCTGAGTGAGATGGATACTGCATGTTATGGAGGAGAAGGTGCTCGGTGGCCTATATCTGTGCTGTGCTGCATGGCCTGCCTGTGTGCCATTGTACTGACACAGAGCAGCTCATGGCAGGGAATGTAGCTCTCAATCAAGAAACCTGCTTCTTTTGTTGTATTAAACCTTTGTCTGCAAGTAGTGCTTAAGTTGTACTTGGGGAACCCTGGATGCAGCAGCCCACGTATGCGCTGTAATCTCAGCTGTAATGTGGCTCAGCACCTGCGTGTGCTGGTTGCTGTGAACTGAATCTTGCTTGGTTGGATGGGGAGATATGGCAGCTCTGATGAGATGCCAGAGATGATCTCTCTGCCCTGAGCATCAGCTTCCTCAAGCAGAAGTCCTTGGCAATGACAAGGTCATGCTTTGCACCTAAGGGAAAACAGTGCAATGGTAAATAACCTTGCACACAGCCATGGTACCGGGATTCTTCGGGATTAATTAACCCACTCTCTTTCCCTTTTCACCTGACAAATAGTTTCTGGTGAGACTGAATTTAAGACACTTAAATGAAATTCAGTGTGACTTTTTTCCCATTAAAGGAGAGACTGATTCATAGTTTTCCTGGAGGCAAAGGCTAGGTTTTTCTCTAATGTCATTCCTTCTGCATATGGCTGCACAAACTCACTCCTCTCTATCTGCCTGTCCTCCACCCCCTCCAACAGTGTGCACGCTCATCCTCGCACACAAACTTGGAGGAATGATGGTTCTGGGAGCCGTGAAGTGTCCGTATCCATGGGGGTAACTGACACTACTGCTACAAGTGCTATATGTGTTTAATTGCTAGGAAGCACTGAGTCAAGAAGCTGGGGGAAAGCACTAGATTTGGGGAAGTGAAGATCACAAAACACTAACCATTAAATCATCATGTTTGCAGGGACCATCCAAAACCTGGTCTAAGACATGTGAGGCTGAGGTTCAGGCTGTGTCACAAAATACCTACAGCAAGATATTTAGCTCTAGTTTCCTAGAAGTGCCCTACTGGGGCTCCACTGGCTGTGTAGGAATGGCTCCAGAGGGACATTCCCCCAGCCCAAATGACTGATGGACCCAGTGCACCTTTGTGTGACGGAGCGTTGTACCAAGTGCATAGGTCACCAGAAGTATTCTATTGGGGTTCTTCCTAATTCTGCACCCTAATTTGACCTTTCCAGTGGGAGAGGAGCTGTTCTTGCCTGGTCATGGGAGGTGGGGCCACAGAAGCAGGCTGGCCTCCAATGGTAGCTTATGGATGGGAAGGGAGACAGGTAAATCTCTTGTTTGTCTACCCCTTGTTTGTACTGTTCTATAAATGAAATGAGTCCAGAGATGCAAAAATGGTGATTTTTTTTGAGACCTAAATCTGTGAAGAGTTAGTAGTATTGCTCAGTGCTTGTCCCACGTAGCTAGCACCCAAACTGCTGCAGCCAGTGTTGTCTTGCAGCTCTCACCTAGGAGCAATACCAAGTCCATGCAATGAGTGATGGAACTCAGTGCCCAGGAAAGAATGGGAAAGCGAGCTGGGTTAAAAATGCAACAAACTCTGCACATTTATATGAAGGGACTGTAATTTTCACATTTAACACTCCGTTAGAGCTAATGGAAAGCTGATATTTTTCTGTAGGTGTGAAATTAACCTTTCAATAAAACTAAAAGCTATCTTGAGCATTTTCAAGCTGAAGTTTAAAATAGAGCAATTATGAAACTTGCTGAAAGGCTGCCAAGTTTTCTTGTTGAAAACTGCTGCAAATGAATTATATTTCCCCTGTGATTTACAGCACAGTGTGAGGGAACTTTAGTTTGTATTTAAATCTGCTTCTATTAAAGACTATTGGCAGCTTGAAGAAATTTAATTTTATTTCTTGGGCAAAGTTGTCAAACTCCATCAGAGAAAATTCCTTTCAATGTTTAATGCTACAAATTGCTAAACATGGCATTGTTTTGAGGAATGCCATGTGTCACAATTGTGTGTCTCGTTGAAAGCAAATTCTGTTTCTAAGCAAGGATGGCTGATGCTGAACAAAGCAGCTCTCCTCCTTCTTGTGGAGACTATTGGAGGCAGGCAGGGGGGTGAGGGGAGTTTAGTCTTTCCTTAAATCCCAGAAAAGCCGGGATCATCCACACCATGCTCCATTATCCCCATTTGGGTTAAAAAAGGGAAGCTGAAATGCATATAGGTTTTGCACTCATAGATGTATGTGCATGTGTGGTGTCCGTGTAAAGGGTGATGTATGCCAACAGGGTTGCTATAGGACACTGGGAGAAGTTATTAAGCCAGCATCCATTCTGGAAATGCAGCCAACTTTGCTTTCTACTCCTAGAAACAAGGGATTAAATACCAGGTCATAGCTCACTGCTCTCTTTTTACCCTGTGGCGTTCACCGCAGACCAAAAGGAAGAAATTCCTGGGGAAATGGAGTATGGGGAAGATGGTCCCTCGTGGTATCACAGCTGTAGTGTCTGGAGAGAGAAGTGGAAGCTGCTTTGCTCACCAGCTTTCTAGGAAGTGGATTGAAATAGGGCTTTTTGATATGAAGGATAAGAAAATAAAAGGGGTCTATAGAAAGGATTTTTAAATAAGCAGTTAGCATTAAAAATGTTCCTGTATGGAAAGGCCTTGTGTTACTATATACAGATACCAGTGTTTCACGTACATTAACACCTGCAATTTCAGTTGGATCCTTACAAACTAACTCCTCAGTGACCTTGAAAGCTTGACAAAGCAAGTCATACTGCTAATGCTAGGTGGTTATTAAAATTAAGCATGGTTGGAATAATATATTCCACGTAATGACAAGGTAATTCTTTGAGATATTAATATCTGAGGTCAAAAGCGAAAGAGTGTTTAGTTTTCAAACTGCATTCTGAAAATAGCATGGAAGAGGTTGCTTAAAGCCACCTCCATCCCCAGGAGCACTGAGAGCAGGATGCTTGCCTGCCCCATGAGCACTGTGGCCTGATAGGGGCTCATCCTCCCCAGCATACCTCTTCTCCTTTCCCTGCTGTATCCCATGTAAACCCAAATAACACCAGCTGCTTGGTACCGCATCCACTTTGCTTCCAGCTAGGGGTGGGCTTGGGTCTGGCTAGACACCACCACGAATAGGGTAGTTTGTGGCAAACAAAACACTTGGGCTCAGTTTTACTTCACAGATGGTGTTTCCAGCCTTGGTCTCGCTTGAAGAGCTTCCCATACTTGATGGACTGCTCTTTGGTGCAGAACAAAGTACATCTGGGGACCTGTCCTGATAAAGACACATTAGCTCAGCAACAACTGAATTATTTGCAATCACTTCTGTGCCCGTATATCTAATTAAAGAGAAACTATTAACATGCCAAAGTAACTGATATTCTTGCAGTCTCCATAATTATTCTCCATAAAGGTCTGTCAGCTGAACAAGTATCATATATTGCCATTCATCCTAATAAGAGGTAGGCTACTTGCCCAGCTTGTGCTTGGCGCTACCAGCTTCAGCAAAGTGACAATGATTTACATCACTGGAAACCTGTCTTGATAAATGCAATTGCTAGTAGATAATCGATTTCTTGGTAAAATTCAGCTGAGAGAGCATCATGACTCTTGAAAAACACAGCAAAGTGGCTTCTAAAAGTGATGAATCACATTTCTGATCTTATTTATGTTGGTCTTGCATCAAAGTAGAGTGAAATTTGTTGGGAGTAGGTTCACCTGTACCGTTGCTAAAGTCAGCAATGATTTAAAGGATGCTGAATTTAACTGTACTTCCTCACAAGGGGCCAGCTCCTGAAAACATGGAGAACCACGCTAGATGGGATTTGAACTGGAGTGAATCAAACATACAGCACAGGTACTGAGGATGGGAAGCAAGTCAGTTGCTAAAAGAGCAGGAAAAGGACTTTTGTCATGGTTATATTGTGTGTCCAGTCAGTATGAAAATAGTGGAGGTCACTCAGTGCAGAATTAAATACTGAAGTGTGGTGCTCACAACTGGAGCTCCAACACACAGCAGCAGACGCATGGGGATGGAGGGCTTCAGTGCTGTGCAGGAACACTTGAGAGCTGAGTTTTTTGGTGTATTTTTAGCATCAAGAAAATAACTATAGACTGTAAAGGGTAGAAAAATTGAAGGTGTTTTTTTTTTCCTTAAAGGATAAAAAAAAAACACATTTCCCCCTCCTGCACATACTCTTGTATGTACTCAAGCTCCTGCAGGAACTTGGATGGTGGGAGCTTTCTCTTCTCCGTGAGTGACCTGATAGGGAGGGTGCTGCTCCAGTGGGTAACTCTGGGAAATTACCTGCTCTCCTGTCTGAAATCACTTGACTGCAGCTCCAACCATAATTACAAGTTGTCAAAAAGCTGCAGCAGATAGTGGTTTTTATTTCTTTCACTGAAGTTATTCTCAGAAAATGATCCGTACCCAGGCTTGTGCTATAAACAGCTCATCAGAAACTCCTCATTACAATGAATATTGCCACACCAACAGCCAGAAGCTGAGCAGCAGCCATGGGTTTGAACCACTCCTTACTGATGGTACATTGTCAGTACCAGGGGGAGGTTTTGGCTGCCACTTAGTATTTGGGAGTTCCCTTGTAATTTTTCCAGTTCCCAGTTCTTTTACTGCAGCCTCATCAGAATGACCAAATGGGCACAAATTAGTTGCTAGGTTTTTGTGTATCTACTTTGGCTGAATAGTTTGCTATTGCAAGATGCAAAAGGGAAGTATTTGTGCTGGATTTCCAAAAGGATTAGATTCTTGTAAAGCTATTAATCTTGGAAGCTGATAAAAAAAGATGAAAATCCCTTTTCTTATTTCAGGGTATGTAGTTAACAGCACAAGAGACCTCATTTTCATAGAAACCTCCAAAGTTTTAAGCTTTCTTTTGCCAAGGAAGCAATATTTTCTTCAATACACCTCCTCTCCCCAAGGTCCTTCAAAAGTTCTGTTTACATGAAAAACCTCATTCAATAAAACACAGTTGAGAGATTTCAAACAGCTCTCATTTTAGTCAAATAAATTGACAGAATTCCCTTTACCCTGCAGAATAAAGATTTCTTTGGCAGCAAGTTACCTCCTGCTGCTTCCAAGTCTTTCTGCTTTTGAGTTACTTGAGAGTTTCAGTGATACTCATTTGGGTAGTGCTGTGTGAATCCGAGCTGTGGACAGGATAAAGGACTGCTGCAGAGTCCTTCACACCTACAACTTGCACTGTCTGTGGTTATTATCTCCTATTCTCACCACTGAATTCTGTTTATAATAGAATCATAGAATGGTTTAGGTTGGAAGAGACCTTAACACTCATCCAGTTCCAACCCCTTGCCATGGGCAAGGACACCTTCCACTAGAGCAGGTTACTCCAAGCCCCATCCAACCTGACCTTGAACACTGCCAGGGATGGGGCAGCCACGGTTTCTCTGCACATGTGTAACAGAGATAAAAGTTCTACTGTCTAAATCGTGTCTTCACAAAGTGGAGAAGAGGGTGTGCAGGGCAAAAGATCCTAAATTGCCCATCACAACAGTGGTACAATCGCTACATCTATAGAGCAAACCAGCAGCATGCCCCAGCTCCCCAGCAGCAACAGGAGGCCACTTGGGGAATTTCACAAACTTTTTAGTGGTGGGATAACTCAGTATCAATTATTTTGTGGCTACCCTTAGGAAACAAAATGCCTGTTAAAGATGGGTTAGAAGAAAATAGGTTTCTATATTTAAAAAGGCCAGACAATATTAATATGCAAGTGCAGGGAAATGGCTAATGAACAGGATTCGCTCTTACTAAGGCAATCCATAACCTCTTTGAGTGCCACAATTGGTGGGGAAGTCACTGCTGAAGAGACTAGAATTAATGAGCTGTCTCAGGAATTTTATCAAGTTCTCTTTAAAAGTCTTTCTCTTGTTCCTGAGGAGATGGATATATTCAGAGAGAGGCAGAGAAAAAATGTCTTTGTATCTGCTTAAAGGTTGAATGATCATGAAGGCTATAAACCCCCTGAGCTTAGGAAGCTCTTCACACTGAATTTTTATGGGAGCTTTGAACAGCATCAGTCCCATTAGTAAAGAAATACATTTAACCTCCTCAATCTGCCGGTTTACCTCCTAGGGCTCCAATCCATCAGGATTCTTTGGTGTATGAGCATGTTTCAAATGAGAGTGGTAGCATGAATAGACTGGACTAGGCATGGGCTTTGATGTAGGTTTTTAATAAAGACACGAGGCTGAAGCTTGTACAAAACTATTATTACATAATGTTTTCCCAGGGCCAGATTGATTGAACTATCCTTCACTAAACTGATTATTACTGTAGCAATTACAGGAGTTTTGGAGGAAAACAAGCTTGAGTCTTACTGCCTTTCGTCAGTGTCTGAATCTCAGGTGAAGCTGCCTCATTTCTTTGGTTGCTGCATTTAGAGTGGAGTAGAAATGAAACCCCACTCTTCCCTCCTGTAGAGGAAAGCTGACGCTCACAATTGCCATGTGAAGCAGTTACCCCTCCGTATGTCCCACCCTGCAGTAACAGAAAGGTAAATGCATATTTACTAGAGCAGCTGTGCTGTGGCTTACATGAAGATGACTTATTCACATGCCCACATCACAAAGTGACATGTTCTCTTAGATCAGAGCTTATGAGGAAGGCTTGGGTGCGTATTCACCCCCTTCTTTGCTGCTGAGCTCTTGGTTCAAGCAAGAGGGGCATCACGCTTCTTTAAAAGTATTTCCTTCAAGAAATGGAAGAGTCTCAAAGGCTCCGGGTGTGTGTTCGAGTGTGTACATATGCATGTATTCATAATTTCCTGTGGCAACTGTCATCCTCTTTTTATTAAGAATCTCTCACACATCTACAGATATATATAAATTGTATGTAGGAGTTGCTCTCTCCTGTATCCTAAGAAGAATGCAGAATAAGTAACGGAAGACACAGGACATAAATGAGCTTCCCTGACATTAACATCTTGTGCCTGTGTGTAGAAGTACTACCTATAATTAGACAGCAATCTTTCTCCTGTTTTCTGCTCCTCTTTTACACTCAGGACTATGGGTCACTTCCCAGCAAGTACAGGAACCCATTAGACCACAGTGGGTGAATCAGCTGAGGATCTCCCCCATCCTGGGTGGGAAGTGATGCTACAGAGGAGCTCTGCTCCCAACACTGCCAAGGAGCAAGTGGAGAGAAGGTGGGCAAGGGCGGGTTTGTAAGGCATCCCTGTGCAAAGAGAAGAGAGGCAAGCAGAGGGGAAAAAAAGAGTCCTTTCACAGGGTATGTTTTGATCATTTTTGGTTTTAAAATATGAAATAGGAGGCTTGAACAAAGAGCTGGGAGCAAGTAGATAAAGAACCGTGTGACACCTCAAGAGCAAGTTGTGCTGAACAAGTAAATGAATTCAGGGTTTGCCGTCAGTCTTCTAAAGATGCAACTTCAGGGTTTAAGAGGTTTTTTTCCAGTTAGAAAAAAGAAATGGATATAAGCTGTTTTCAGCAGCTGTCTCTGGTTTCAGAAGGGAAATGCAAGCCGTGGAAGGTAGATTCTCTGAAGCATGGTAACCACTTTGGTGGAACTATCATTATAAAGAGAGGATAAAATAAATACATTCTAGACTGAAAGAAGATGTCATAGAAATGGTTCCAGTATCAACAGTAAATATTTTGCTCCTGCATAAAAGCTCTAGGCAGTCCTGTCACATACAAGGAAAGGAGGGATGCTGCGAATCCTATAGACATAACCCCAGTGTTTCTCAGTGTCCTATAATGTGAAGAAGTTAAGGCCAATTACAGGACACTTAATAGTAATAAAATACCCTCTCTTTACCCTTTGGAGTGTGTATATGCTCAACTAGCATTGAATGTCACAGCAGCAAAGCTTGAAGTAAGATCTATCCTGGAAAACTTCATTAAAAGGTTTTAATAACACGAGAACTAAAACCCATGGCAAATGCTGGGGCTGGCTAGTGTTCTGAGATGTCTTTATGCAAAATCTGCTGCCAGTTCAAATTAACATCTCGCATAACTAGCTCTGGAATGAGAAGTGATAGTCTGAGTGCTGAACAAACCCCAATTTCTATCTCTGCTTATGCCCTGCCCTAAGGTTAATCCTCCCTCCTTTAGCACAGCTCTTCAAAAGCTTATGGAAAAGGTGTCAAATCGTCATTCATAAGGTTTAAAGAGGTGGACAAAGAAGTATTTTAGCATAGCTTAGATGTCACTAGTGCCTGCTAGAAGCTTTGAGGCATACCCCTGCATGTTGTGATATTTGAGCTTTCCAGCACAGAAAACTGTGCTTAATAATCTGAGGTTTAGAAAAATATGCAAAACATAAGTAATGGAAACAAATAAGTGTATTTGTGGCATTCAGAATCACATGAGGCCAAGCATCAGTATCTGCTTCTGCAAAGGAAGTGCTGGGAATACTGGCTCTGTGTAATTAAGACATGGTGTGTCTTGATCAGCAAGCTTTTATTCCCAAGTGTTGCTTCTTCTGAGCTCTGCAGGGACCTTTCCCTTGAGGCAGGCCTGAAGGTTGGAAATATGTTCTCAGAGACGCATCACAGTGCGGGTGATTTCCTGGGTAGTGAATGTCTCTGTGCAACGGCTGAGCATCCCTGTGTGTCCCCAGGCAGGGGATGAGTGAAAAGCCTGTACACTGGTCCTCACTGGAGACCCATGATGGAAAAGGCAGGGAGGTGAGGAAGGTCCATGCCCTGGCTGGGGCTTTGTCCCCATTGCACTGAGAGCAGGGCTGGCTGCGTAAGCCAGGCACAGCCTGGGTCTCAGCACACTCCTGCCTTGCTGGCAGGTAACATCTGTCTGTGCAGACATCCCTAGATCAGCGTTTGTCATTTCTGTGACCCTGTTCCTCACCCTGCGCTTGGTTTGAAGTGGCTTGACCTAACAGCAGCATTTACCAGGAGTGTTTCCATCGCAGTCCTGGGATGTGCAATGGCTGCTGCAGGGTAGGGAAGTTTTCAGCAGGAAACTCACTGAGTAGGTGATGCTGGTGTGTCTGGTACCTGTATGCACAGGGCTATATGAGCTTACAGGTACTTGTATGCTCACTGGTTGCCACTTGGCTGTGTGCTGCCAGCTGCTCTCTCCTCTTGACCTGCTTGGCTGTGGGATGAGCACAGGCTTGGAATGTGTGAACCATTGCAGGGGCAGGCAGTCCGGGGGAACTCCATGTCTGCAGCATTTGAATGCTTTGAATTCCTGAATGAAGGAAAAAGGGAAGTTGAACCTCAGCCTGGTTCTGCAATGGCTCAGAAGCTGGAGAAGGGACAAGCTTCATCTCATTTTTAATGTTTTTAATATTGTAAAGTAGTGAGTTCTTAACCTCTTAATGCTTAATGAAATTTTATTGTTTAAAATCTATTTTTTAAAAAAATTTAAGTAATAATTGAATAAATCCCCACTGGTACTTAAAGCACCTTCTAAACAGACTTCAGCAAAGCTCCTTGGTGATACTGAGCAATAACTGTCCCAGTGCTTGGAAGGTGGAACACGTTAAAGCAGCACCTATGTCAGCTTCAGTGTGATTGCAGAAAGCCTGGTGAGATACTTGCTCTCCTCAGGATGTCCTCACCCCATACTGTGACAGAGGAATCGTTGAAAGTTAAAAGAAAACCCACTATTCATTGATGTAAGGACTTCACTGAAATTTCCCCAAAGCCCTTAATAGGCAAGGAACACATCTTAATAAGCAAGAAGTACAAAAAGGCTCCTTAAAACTTTAATTGCTGGTCTATAACTCTAGAACTGGCAATCTTGCTTTTAATGGCTCTGCTGTACAGCTGGATTGTCAGCCACTGAAGTTATTAGTTTATAATTAAAATGCTGGCAGTTCCTTAATTATAGGCACTGCTACAATATCACTCACCACTGTAATTGTTTGGTTTTCTGATGGGGAGCATGAGCAATTATTTTCCTTCAGGATCTTCAAACGAAATATTATTGGGAAGGAGATGCTCATCATGTCAGCCTACTGCTGAGGGAAAGGTACAGCGCACAGTGTGCTCTGCAGGAAACACTGCAAGCAAAAGTGCTTCCAGAAAGAACAGTTTCAGGGTGAGGTTTTCAGCCACCCAGGCTGACAGCAGGGTAGGATCTGACATGGTAAATGCTGGGATTGCTCTCTCCCCTTGGGGGCTGGAAAGCCAGGGTGGATGTGCTGACAGCAGGGACGTAATAATGCTGTCCAAGAGCTCAATTCCCATGTTATGTGAAACCCAACCTTCTCCTATTTTGCTGCAGAAAGAAATATTGGGCCACTGTCAATAGAGGAGCTTTTTCACCTGTTCAGTGCTTTGTCTGAGTGAGCAGTAGCACAACTGCACACTAAATTCAGTGGCCAGATCATGGTACAAGAAGCCTTGTAAAGCACAACTGGTCTGGGGGAGCTGCTGTGGGAAGATCACATCCAGGCAATGCTCAGCTGTGTGACAGAGCCCACCTCATCCCATGGTTGCAAGGGCTGGGGCAACAGCGCAATGGCTGGTAAAGGAGTGTCAGTCAGAGTGCAAAGGGTAGAAATTTTCCTCATGTGAATGGTTAAATGTTGGAACCGGGACCCAGAGAGGTTGTGGGACCTCCAACCCTGGGGACACTCAAATATGCTGGTCCAGGCTCTGAGCAACCTCACCTTGTACATTGGTCAACTCTCTGCATCAACCTAACTCTGAAACTGACCCTGCTCCAGAGAAGGAGGTTGGATTAGAGACCTCCAAAGATCCTCTGCAGCCTAAATCACTGGGTGATCCTGTATGAGCAGTTCAGGTACCTTACTTTAACCTGTGAGTTAAGAAAAAGCAAAGAGAAGGAAGTCACCTGGTGTGCAGGAGGGGACCGGAGGGAGGTGCAGCATCCTCACATGGTGCCCAGGCACACCAGGTCCCTTGCATGCAGACCAGTAGCTAGTCTGCTGTGAAGCCCCAGGAACAGACACCTCAAAGCGATTTCAGTGTCTTTCTGGCTTGAGTGCACCATCCAGGCACCTTTACAGCATTTTAGCAAACAGACACAATCTGCTCCTGTTACACTCACTGGAATTGCTGCTGAAATTAATGAGCAGGAAAAGGATGGGGTGCTGAACCCAGCTAATCACAGGCACAGCAACAGGCAGGTAGCAATTTGGAGATAATGCAACTGGGAATCTTGCTTGTCTCATTTGCAGTGATAATCAGTTCATTTTGGTTACTATTATTTCTCAGTGAAATTGCTGCTCTCTGTTCCACATGCCCTGACTCTTCCCCCGCAGTTTTCCCAAGGGATGAGCAATTGTAAAGCAAACAAGCAGAGGAAGTTTGACATTGGGTGATAACAGGACAATGTGAATTAGCAAGGTAGCTGAACCTTCCAGTGCTTCCCCACGTGTCAAGGCAAATAATAACGAGTATTTTCTCCTCAACTGTGTGTGGCTTTGTATTATTATTTGTATTGCTGGTAGAGGCATGGGAGTGGAAGCAGTGAAGGGGGTTCTGGGCTGGCTGGATTGAAAAGCCATCGTAGTGATGGGGGTGAGGCTTTCAGCAAAACATGGGAGTCCCTGAGATGTGTATGCTGATTTAATCAGTTTAAGCTTCCACAAGTGCTTTTGGATTGTCTGCAAGGTTTCAAGCTGTGCGGCTGTGTATGTGTGTGTGCACATGCACATTTGTGCATATACAAGCACATGCAGAGGCTATAGGTCTACTCCTGGAGAATGGGAATAAGACAGGGAAAATCAGCTCACAGTTAAATTTCTTTGCTTTTCCTTTCTTTATTTTGCTTCTTTTTTTCTTCTTTCTGCTCTTCCAAGAAAATAAGCCCACTGGCTCACATCTCTTACGTGGTCACTCCCTGCAGGCACTGCAGTGGTTTAATGCTACAGGCTGTCTTTGAGCACTCTGCCTGGAGGATTTGTTATGTTTTAGTTGTTTCTCCCTATGGAGCTGTGTCCCACAGTTTCTTTTCACCCCAAGCCAAGCTTGCTCTGCAGCTGGCTGCATGCAGGTTACAGGGTTTTTGAAGTCCTCTGCTTGCTACTTGCATTAACAGGAGAAAGTATTCCCACTTCTCTTTAGTAATTCTCGTCCTCAGGCGCTGTTAGTGGCATAAACCATCTATCAGCTGGCAGCAGGCTACAGCAGGAATCAGCACACTTGAAAAACCCATGACATGGGATTAAAAACCATCCATAGGCCAAGTAAACACGAGCAAAGGCCAGGCCTGTGGGAGCGGGGTGCAGGCACTGCTGAGCAGAGCCCGCAGTCCCTTGCTGCATCACCAAGGCTGAACTTGCACAGCGTTTCTGCTGGTCCTGCAGTCACAGCTCTGTGGAAAAGCTGTGCTGCCAAACATTCCTTTTATTTTCCTTAGGATTCTGTCCCCAAAACACCTGCAATGGTTTTCCTGCTCTTTCTCACTGGATTTTTTCATTTTATCTGAGTGGTTTTGCAACCTCCATGCATTGTTTTCATCATGGTCCCTAAACCAGATCACAAGAGCAGTGTTGTTTCCTTCTTGTCACCACTCTGACCCCAAAAGAGAAGTGTTTGTTGGGTACTAACTGCAGCCCTTATATGATGTCTAGTGAATCAGCATTACGTGAGAAGCCTGAAATGCAGGTAAACTGTTTTGGTTTATTCCATATTACATTATTTGGTGTAAGATAAGCATCAGCAAAAACAAAACCAGTGTTTGCTGATGCACTTGAAGAATTGGAGTCTGGGTTTAGTCCTATTTAAGCTTAGAGAGTATCTGTATCTGCATCTTGAGAGATGCTGCAGTGGAACACACAACCCCTTTTTATACCCCTTTACATTCAGTAAATATGCTGGCTATTTGCTATATTAGAGCAAGGAGATTACATGACTGGTTTTCCTTGTGTGCCTCGAGATCCTTTGCCATTGCTTAGTGTACTTAGTGAAGCAGCTAGCAGGTTTGATGGGTTAGGCAGTAAGGAGGAGAAAGGGAGAGAACAAGTTGAATACCAATGGAAGCTGTCTATTCAAAAAGGGATTTAGTGTTTCTTACAGCATCCTCCTGATGAGTAGCACTGAAAAATTAAATCCAAACACATGCCAAATACAGCGCTTTGCTTCCCCAGCTCTTCAGCACAGTCTTTATGCCCAAGCAGGTCCTGGAGAGCACTGCCTATGCTGCCACCCGCTGCCACAAGCAAAGGTGGCATTGCCAGAGCCCACACTGTACAGAAAGAAATCTTCCCTTGGCTTTGGTGTTTATTGCTGGGTTGAGAAAGGCTGGTCCTGGGGATTTTGTTCTCTTCATCAGTGTGCTAAGTAGTGCTGGGAAGAACCTGCTTTTATACGAATGAATATGTGCCCCTGACAGGATGAGTCCTGAGATGCAGAAGTTGTCTCATTCTTTCAGTGAATCCCACTGCTGCTACAGACCTTAGTTTGGATGATCACATTTTATTTGACTGAGGCACACATCTCCCAGGGAAGGTTTCTGTCACCAGGAACATCAGTTTGCCTCCAGTTACATCTCGAGTCCACCCAATAAGGTGTCATGCTGGTATGTCAGGAGGGCAGAGACCTCACACAGCACTAGAAGCTTTGAAAAATAAGCAGCATGCATTGGCCGCCCCAAGGACAAGCTCCAGCATAAACTGTCTCCTGACACTGGGGCATTCATGGATATGTAGGCAGGTAGCGGATGCTCCCACTACAGGAGAAGTTCCTGCTCTGATTTTGGGGACACTAATGACATAATGGCAGGGGTGGTGGCCCCCGTCCTCCACAGCCCTTCCTATCTCCAGCAGTCACAACAGAGTGAAGCAGAACTGATCTGAAAGCTTTCTGATCTGAAAGTGAGCTCATGCAGAATGAGTCGAAAGGCATCAATGGTAACAAACACTAAGAAAGAAATCAAGACGTCATTTTTTTTTCCAGGTTTCCTGTCAAATAAGTTAAAACATCTCCACCTCTGAATTTCTGACATGTTGGAAAAGTTCCCTACATATAACTGGGAGAAGCTACTTTGGACATTGGTGGTTATTCCTATGTGTTGTGTCTAAACTTGGCTCTTGTGCTTGGTAATCAACCAGAAGCTTTTTGGTTTTGGCTTTGAAGCTTAATGTCATTTGGGAGGATTTTTCAGCAACAATAATGTGCCCTAGTGAAAATATTTTGTTTGAAATAGGAGCTAATGCTTGGAGATTTTGGTGCAGCAAGTTCAATATAAAGATGAATTTCACTTAGTTCATGCAAGATTTAAGTGTAGTAATGTTTTCTGTAGGAGGGGTTGGAAAGGTGGCTGCAGACAACTTGACCTGCCAGCTCAAAGCTTATGTTGTCTTTTGTTCCAAAAGCGCTACTAGTGGGTCCTATTTGTTCCACGCAGTACACACTGTTATTTCCAGCATGTATTTGAGATGAAACCCTTTTCTGTTCAGAACAGCACGATCCTTTCCTCCTTGGAGATAACCCATCATTTTAAATTCTCTCAGTGGTAACTTGCAAGCAAACTGGCAAAGCACTAAAAAAACGTTGTTTTGTTGATTTGCTTTTAATCTTTCCTCAATGTGAGAGCGATTTAAAAGCGCCTGTGTCTCAGCCATTGACTGTCTGAGGCATTCTCACACAGCATAACACTTTGAGGAAACTTTTGCCAAGTTTCTTACTGTGATGCTACAAATCCTGAGCATCTCTGTATGGAATGATCCAAAAACATCTCTCGCCTTGGGCTAGGTGTACCAGAGGCAGGAAACATGGAGGGTGCTTGACTCCTGCTTTTCCTGTCCTTGTGTGGGAGAGGAAAGCAGGAGGTGTCTGTTTGCTCTTATCAGTAGGAAAATTAAGTATTGATTACTTGTTGTCATGTTGTGGGGTGTTAAAAACAGCAAAGGTTTCAGTACTGAACCTTTCGCTCCTCGGCAGTGTTTTATGTGGGTTTGGGTGGTTTAGGAGAGGTTTGGAGAATCACAGAATCATCTGGGTTGGAAGGGACCTTAAAGTTCATCCAGTTCCAACCCCTGCCACGGGCAGGGACCCCTTCCACTAGAGCAGCTTGCTCCAAACCCCATCCAACTTGGCCTTGAACACTGCCAGGGATGGGGCAGCCACAGCTTCTTCGGACACCCTGTGCCAGCACCTCAGGGCATTTCAGGCGACACGCTGATAAACCAAGCTGGGGAGGGGAAGCAGAGAGAACCCTTTGAGTCTTTAACCCCTCCAGACACCGTTTTAACGGGTTTTAAAGGACTTGTGTGGCCGGTAAGTGATGGAAACACCCTCCGAGGGTCGCGAGCTCCGCCGGTTCCCCGCTCAGTGCGCTTGGGGACAGCCCGGGCTCTGCTGCCCCCTGCCGGCCGCCCGCGGCTCCCGGCTCCCGGCCCTGGCGCTGCGTGTCTGGGGTGCGGGGAGCGAGCAGGGTGTGCTGGGCAGGAGGGCACGCGGAGCTCGGCGGTGAGCTCTGCACCGAGGGAAGCCGGAGATGAGTTTTATGCCGGTGGGGTGGAAGCTAAACGCTGCCCGCGTCATCCTGCCTCTGCCTCGCCTCAGCAGATGCTCCTCTGAGCAGCCTTGAGTCACTTCGGTAGTTTCAGCGCTGTGGGTTTAACCCTTGGGCGGTGTGAGCTGGCACTGCCGAGCTGTGGTGGTGTGCGTCATCCAAACGTGCAGCCCCACGCAAAACCGACACGGAACAAACTGAACAGATGTAGAAAAACGAGTTTGCTTCTGATCCTCATAGGTTCCTCGATTAATACCTGCTCCTGGCATTCAGCAGCACTGCTGCCTGACACAGGCAGCTCTGCTTCTGGGCTCTCTAGAAAAACAAGCCCTCCACCATTTCAGCCTGCAGAGGTTCATCCTTCCCTTCAGGTCTCTGCTAACCTGGACGAATACCATGGAATGTTACATCCCAGCTTTAGGATTACTCTAGAAACCTTGGCTTGGGACACTCTGCTCCCGGCCTTGGCTTTGTGTCCCGGCAGTTGTCGTGCTGCCTGGTATAAGGGGGTAGAACAGGCTTCTTGTTCTGCCTTTGTACAGCGCCTGCAATCTGTGGGCCCTGGGGTACAAGTGGCACTTACAGGCGCTTTTGTAACATGGATAATAACATTTGTTAAAACAGACCTGAGAAATGACGGTGAAGGTTACCTACCCAGGAACACATGTGACAATCAGGATGACGCATGAAAGGTAGAGCCCTTCTTTACTGCTTTACTCCCCTGGTTCTGTTGTGTATATTAAGTGGTTCATACACTAGTACAATATATCCAAGATTGCATCACTGTAGTTCAAACTTGAGTATACTCCTTACTTTGCTGTGCATTTGTGTTGCTTCTCTGCTGTACAACTTCTGTTTCCACTTACATATTCTTTTACCAGAGGGGCAGACACAGGCTGTTTCTGGTCAGGTTCTGTACAAAGCAGCATGAGCTGTGGGGTAAGATACTTGAGTGATACAGGTAATTTCCAAAGAACTGTGTAAAACAGGAAAAATTGAGGTTTTGATGACAATGCCATCAGAGACCATTTGAGCTGGTGAATGTCGCCACCTCTGCAGCAAAATACAATCCAGGTAGGCACAGAGGGCCTTTCAAACACAGAATATATATGCTTTAAGCGTGTTTAGATTTTGTCATTTATGATCCTTGTAATTCATACATGCATAGAAGTGACTCCTCCCTGGTTTGGCAATAACTTAATATTGCTGCTCTACAAAATAGTCTACTATTCACTGTTGTTAGGAGGAGGGTGTCTGAAATTGAGAACACTAAATACTTTTTGACAATGTATTTTTCATATTAAATACCTTTTGTTTGCTTACCCATCCCTCCCGATCTGCAACATTTGTAGTGCAGGAGAAGCCCTGCATGCCTCCACAGGTTCTGTCAGGCAAACCTCAGCTTCCCCTGTGTTCTGAGCTGATCAGCTGTGAACTGGAAGACTTCTGACAGCTTATTAGTCCAGGGCTGTGTTGTGCTACCAAAATTGACTCCTCGTTCAGCTGGCTTGCCTTTAGCAAACTTGGAATGTGAGCAAAACAAGCTTGGAAGGGTCTGTTCAGAGATCCACTGCCACTGAGTGGGAATTACATGGCATTTAGACAACAGGAGTCCAGAGCCACACTCCTGGAAATCCCTCAGCTGTCACCTAGCTTGAGGAGGTGGCTCTATTTTGTGTAAGATCGTTACTTTACTTCAACCATATATGCTTATGACTCAGTCTGAGCACAGTCCAAACCATCTTTCCTTTATCCAAACCACTGGAGGCTTTTTGTAACAGGTGTTCTTAGAACATAGAGAACAGGTACTGACATGACCTGCTGCTGCCCCTTGTTTCTTCTCCCTGCCTTGCAAAAGCTTAGAGTATACTCACTTCACTTGTTGGGAAGGTTGAAACTTGCATTTCCTACCTCCTGACAGACTGCAGGATGATCCAGGTGGATAGATTCCACCTTCCCTATTAATAATAAAAGCATCTGAGATTCTTTAACAGCGTGATTGCTGCTCTAATGCTTCAGTTTGTCATGAGAAAGAAAGTTACACCGTATGTTTTGGGAACTATTATGTATTTTGTAATGGCCAATTGGCAGATAAAATCCAGAAACAGGTTATAAATGGTGTTGGGATTAGATTCCTCCTTCTACATGAACAGTTTTTGAACTGCAGTTTCAAACACGTCATTTCAAAGTGTGACTTTTCATGCGGTTGCACAGAACACAGCATAGTGAGGCTCAAATCACTGCAGTTCTTTGCATCACCTTGAGAAGAAAATAAAGCTAGTGCAGTATGATTTTTGTCGGTTTACACCCCTTGACAAGCATGAATTCTACAGAAGTAACTTTTTTTTAATGTGAAACTAACAAATTCTAGTCTAGTCACAAGTGAGTTTAAAATGGCAGCTACCCTGACAAATTAAAGCCCTATTTAGTTCAGGTTTAGGTCCCATCTGGACTCAGGTATGGAGGCCAGGATTCATGCAAAGATGCACCATCCTCAGTCCAATGTGAAATAAGTAAAGGTGTCCTTACTATTAGGCTCAATGTGTGCTAAACCCACAAAACTCTTTGTAAACAGCTTTTATTGACAGTGTTTTGCAAACACCTTAGTTCATGAACATTGTGTAGACGTTTCATCCTTTATAAAAACAAAGTATATTTCTTATCAGGAACTGCAAACTTTGTGGATTAATGCAAACTGCCTGTGTAGATCTGTAACTGTTTTCCCCTGAAGAAAAAACAAGTATTTGTGTATAGAACATCACAGAAATAGTAGAAAACATTTTTTTTTCTCCATCCCTCTTTACTGTTGATTTCAACACACACTGAAGACACTTGGACATTCTTCAGAAGTATGGTCAGTCTTCACATCACATCTACTGTTTGGTCTCTGTTTCGATCTGAGTTTCCTGAGATTCTTCAGCTTCTGAAAGTTTTTCATCATCTAAAATTCAATATGACTGTTAGTCAAACATGCTTGGCGGTACTTAACAGACTGCATTGCAGAGCACTTAAATACTTTATGTTGATTGCCTTAAATGTGTAGTTGATTGTCTTATTACACAAAATGCTGAATTCAAATTGAAACAAAATCCTTCAAAGCTTAAGGGTTTTGTCTGCAAAAGCTACTGCAGGAAACATGGGGTAAACCCTACAGCATCAATGCAAGCAAAAAGTACCAAATTTAAATCACATCCTTTCACTTTGCCTATTAATGGTTTATTTACTCCAAACTGAAGCTGTGCTGTCCACTGAACTGTTACTTTTTTCACAAAATCCTAGAACTGAAAGGAAATCTATACATTCATACATATTTTAGAGACCAATACTTAAGCATTAGTAGCACATAACAACATCCCTCTGCTAAAATGCACCTAGGATTAACAATTCATTCTGCTTAAGTAGATCTAGACAGCCTCAGAGAATGAAAATCTGTTCTGATAGCCATGTATGTATTTAATCAGGTCACGCTCAAAGGCTATACCAATGATTCCATCTTTGAAAGGCATGGCAAATACTCAGCAAATACTACTTGAAACAATACCATCCATATTAGAGAATGAAAAGTAAATGCTGATTTGAAAATATTAAGTGTTTGTATGACAAAAGATGAGTATGACTCAATTCCTGACTTTAGCTCTTGTGTATGCTAGTTTTAGTCCCTCCTCTATTACAGACTCGCTGTCTGAGCAACTCATTTTGCTTTCCTGTATTCCAATTTCTCTTTAGCAAAGCCTCAAACAATACCACAATGGCAGTGACACATTCATAACCACCGAAACTGGAATTACACAAACAAGTTTGGAAGTATGCCCAAGAATACTTTTCTGTAAGAAATACTTTTTCTGTTTAAAAACAGAAACAACCTCAAATTGTCATTCTCCACCCTCACGTTTTAAATAAATTTGTTGTCTACAACAGACTAATCTGAAGCTAGTCATGAAATGACACAGTGGCCAGTTTGTAGAAGAAAAAAATCTCAGAGCAGTCTCAGGCTCTGGGCTACTACTGGAAAAAACTTGCTGCTGATTCAAGAGGTCTCCAACCTCAGCTGCACACATCTGGCCACTGCTGGAAGCTGCGAGTCCTTTTGATCTGCTGAAACCCACCCCAGTTATAGATAAAATACCCAAGAACACCACTTACTCTCCAGGGTTTGCTGAAGTTCATGGATGGTGCTCAGGAGAACATGAAACTGCTTTCTTCTCAGTTCCAACTGGAATGATAAAAATACGTATTTTAGGAAACAGAGCACAGACAGCACATAGCAGATTCTCCATTCATGATGTTCCTAATACTTTATTATCTAACAATCTCTATGAAAAACCTACCTTATCTTCAACATTCTCTTTAATGTGAGAAAGATGTTGCAGTTCTTTCCCCAAAGCTTCCAGCTGCCTGGAAAGAAATTGTTGCAGTATTTTTAAAAAGTTCTGTAAAGTTCTTGCAAAATAGATATGAAGTAAATAAAGGAAAAAGAACCATTAAATAAACAGCATAGCTAAAAAAAGCCTAACAAATGAAGTGACACAGAGGTAAGGCCACTTCACACAGATTTTAAATTACAGAAAACAGAGTCTTCAAGCCGGGATGCTTAGTGATAGGACAAGAGGTGATGGTTTTAAACTTAAACAGGGGAAGCTCAGGTTAGATGTAAGGAAGAAGCTCTTTACTGTGAGGGTGATGAGGCACCGGAATGGGTTGCTCAGAGAAGTGGTAAATGCTCTGTCCCTGGCAGTGTTCAAGGCCAGGTTGGACAGAGCCTTGGGTGACATGGTTTAGTGTGAGATGTCCCTGCCCATGGCAGGGGGCTGGACCTGGATGATCTTAATGTCCTTTCCAACCCAAACCATTCTGTGGTTCTGTAACAGCTGTATACAGGGCATTTGGGCTGTTAACAATTCAGTCCTGCTACAAACATGGTATTTACAATACAATACAATACATACAATGAAAGTTAAAAGTGGGTTACATTAAACACCCATGGCATTTTCATAGGTTTTGCTACTTCACAGATTTTTCCATGTTGACATAAGATTAAATAAAAACACAGCATCAACCTGGAGAACATATCTGATAAACATACATACCCCACATACAAACACAACAACTGACCACACACAGTCAAGTACGTTATCTCTGACAACGGCCTGACCAGACAGAGTTACTGGGCAACATGTAGACTTTACAGCAAGCATATGTAGAATAATCTATGTTTTTGATGGAATTACATGCTATAACTTATGCCTTACAGCACAGAATTTAACACTGTGATCCATATAAATACTCACTTCCTTCTCAAATGCCAGGTTTTAATTTAATTGCTTGCCTCTGGCATCAGGAGATAAAGGAAACATGCAACACCTGTAATCTCCATTATTATTGAAGTATATTATCTTTCAACATCTCTTGGGATCTTCCTGCAAGCATTTCTGGTCTCACTTGGACCCACCACATCCAATCCTTTTTGAGGTAGGGCAAAGACTAATAGGTATAATAATGTACACCAGCTTTCATATGAGGACACAGCATCATCTCAAACTCAAATGTCCTGTTTGGTCCTTCTAATTTCCCTCTAATGCCTACCACAATTGATGCTTGGTGCAATGAGAACAATGTGTTTCTTTAAAGGTGAAGTGGACTGAAGATGTTCATCCTTGATCAGCAGACAGAAATATGTTAAGGCCCAGAAAGGAAATAAAGCTTTTTCTGAAGCACTGAGAACTCCTGCAACTAGTCTGGGCAGGGAACCACAGCAAGGCCTCCAGTCCTAAGAAACTCATGATGGTTGGGAAACAGTTTAGTGCTACCTGAGGGGGGTGTCTTCTTTTGAGCCACTACACTTGGTACCTTGAAGGGAATGCCTGGAAGAGGGCTGGGTGTGACATTATCCTTTCCTTTAATGGAAACATACCAACAGCTTATAAGCTTATACAGTGGTTTTACTAGTTTCTGAAAGGCTTCCATTTGGCCAAATGTTGCTGTTTACACCGTGCTGTCAGGTATAAGCAGACTGTGAGAACACATGCAATTTTTCTTCCAGTAACATCCAAGCTAGATCTCGAATTTTACTTTCCACTCCAGAGAATCTCTGCCTAGCCTTCTCATTTCTGTATCTCCTTTTCTAAGACTTGGTGTCTTGTCTTGGTCCTTTTATGGACCAAGCAGCTCTTCTGATACTGCATCTAATTACACTGTGGGCACTGCCATTTAGTAGTTCAGCTCCTGTTACTTCCTGAATTGGCTCTTGTGTATTACTTGTGACTAAGCTCATAACAGCTTTTCTTCCTTTGTGCTGTATGACTAGTTGTCCAAGAAACAGTCCCTTTATAAGCATAAAGTATTTTTCCGAACTTTGTTCTATTGTGCCATATAACCTGTAAAGGCTATAAATGTAACTCCTGTAATAAACCATGACATTTCTCCTCACAAAAGGTTTTATCGAGTTTTTTTAGTGATTAAGAGTCTACAAGAAGTGTGACATTGTCAGCGAGGCTTCCTGAATTCTGATGTAAGGGTGATTCTTCTTGGTTAACAGTCTCATTTTCTGTATGCTTTCCTCAAACTGGAGAGAAAGGAAGCCTTCTAATTGAAGCACTGAATGAAAACTTATCTGATTCCTGTATTTAAAGTCTATTCATTTGGAGAGGTGAGTTAAAGCTAAAATACCTAATGAACCAAGGTTCCTTTAAAAATGTTCTATTCTGTAACCAAGCCCTATTTCCCCATCTGTAAAATGAAGGATCATACTATATTATAGTTACAGTCTATGTTTTTGACTCCAGATATGAAGGACGAAGGGCATACACTGTGGCTGCTCTTCCAGAGGACTACACTGTTTTTTCTAACCATAATACACTCTGGTAAGTAGATTATAAAGTTAAGTTTAAGAAGAGACAAAATACTCAATTTACTAGCTGGACCTTACCATCATTTCTAGCTTTGCTTGAAAAACTTATACTTGGATGTGTTAAAACGAAATTAGAACAACCTCTCTAAACCTAAACCTGGCATCCTCTAAGAAGAAAGTATGATCACTTAGGTATTTCAGTTCTTATTTGATTTATTGAAAACCCTCAATTCTGTAATGCTTTATTATGAAGCCTCACTTGATAAATGGCACATGCTGCCTAATGAAGCAGTCATGCCTCATAAGAACTACCTGTAATAATTGAAGTTGTAATACAATCAAGGCACACAAAAACCACACACAAGAAAGGAATGTGTGAAATACTCTCAGTGGCTTTATACCTAGAAACATCTTATTTTTAGGGTAATATAATAAAAAAGTCTTCCTTTTGCCATTAAAGATCATGGAATGTGAAAAGACAGCATCCCTCTGCAATTTCACTGGAAATGGGCAACAGGATAGGCAAAAGCTGTGCTTAAATGACAGCAGTAACACTACGCTGCATCTGTAATCAGATTGAGAACAAACTCAAAGATGCAGTAAGTTCTGGAATGTTTCTGGGCCTTGAAGTTAAACAGATTATCTCCTCACAAATGACCCAAAAGCACAGATAGTAATCCAAATCCCACAGTGACACAAGCAATACTGTAAGTTACATGCAAGACTAGTTGGACAACAGGTAGGTCTAACCTGCATGCCAGAGCAGGTTATACTGTGGTACACCATGCAATCATTTATAACCGGGCATGCAGGAACAACTACTACAAGGAAAACAACAAAAACCCTAAAAGCTTTCTCCCTGCTTTCTCTTGTATGTTATGCATTTTGGGTGTCTACTGATTCCTTCGCTGGCACACTTTACAGCAGTTCCCCACTATCTCTCTTTTCAGAGTAGTCCATTCCTGGTAAACTAACATTAGATGTCCATTCACCTCTGAGTTCACTTATTCGCTTTAGCAATGGAAACATCTCAAATACAGAATGACCAGCAACATATCTGAGCCTATGCAAGAGGGAGATTAATGAAAGAAAGATGATGAGGGCACAATTTTAAAACAAACGCCAAGTTTTTCTTGTGTCACAAGAAATTACATAAAAGTGAGGAAAGGTCAAACTGAAACCAAGGAATGTCAACTATGGTTACTTCCAACTTACTGGCTTATTATAATTTAATGTAGTTTCACACTTACTTCAGTGTTTCATGTCTGTCTGGATGGTGCTGTATGACTTTAGCCAATGCATCATATTCTGAAAGAAATTTAAATTGTTATCTAAATAATGCTTAAAGTATTGATTCAAGAACCAAAACTCAGGTACCACAGAATGGTGCAGATTTTTTTCTCCTTCCTGAAAAACTATTTTAACATTCTTCCAATTTGTAATAACACCTTACATATGTAAGAAAAGTATCTGCAAATATACATATACAAAAATTTATATAATTTATACCATAACATCTCATTACATCAAAGGAGATTTTAAATAAACTACAAATATGACTGTAGGCCATTATCTACTCAATCAGACTTACCCAGTACTAGTGATTAGTAAAGGATGTGGCCAGAAAACACCTTTAGGTAGCTCTGCATTGCTGCACACTTGGTCATTTGTATGACCAAAGCATTGGTTTTAGATACAGTCTAACTTATGTGTACAGAAAATGGTGCTGATGTTACACATAGACATTTTTCTAAGAACTTTAAATGTTCTTAGAAATGTTCTCATGCTGTCATGAGAAGCAACAGTATTTTTTTTACACATTAAGAACAGTATTATAGTTACATGGGCAAATAACATAGCCATTTCCTGATAGTAAGATAGTACATATGCCAACCACCTCATTCACATGGCAAAATCTGTGCTGCAGGCTGGTCAGAACATATCAGAAAGCAAACACTCTGGACCTGTGTTTGTGAAGACGTAAGAGTTCTACATTCCTACTGGTTAAAGTTCTTTTAATTTCCAGTTGAGTCTAAAATTATCCACAAAATTGATCAGTTGTGTTTAAAACGTTTCATCTGTTATACTCCTAAACATTCTCATTTAGCATTTTGATCATGTCAATAAATAAACAAATTCTTTTCTTCCATTGCTAAACTTTTGATAAAACTACTACAGGGAAATGCTTTAAGTTTCTATTGAAATTATCAGCATATACTTTTAAGAGTAGGGAAAAAATACACCCCTCATAACAGGTTCAGTGAGGATATAAACAGTGTTGCTGGGTGTGTAACTGGCACCACTGTCTCTGTGTATAGTCCTTTGTACTTTGTAAAATTGGGAACCTGTTTTCCAATACAATGTATGTGAAAAGCCAACCAAACCCTGAAACTGCCCAGTGTATAAAAACAGGTACTGCTCCTTACCCTGGCGGTTTTTTCGAATCCTTTTTGCTTGCAGGATTTGCTTTTTGCATTCAGAAATCTTCTCATGCGCTGCAGCTATGCTATTTTCTTAAAGGAATAAAGAAAGTACCTGGAGTTATACTTACATCAAACAATACATGTAAACAAGTTATTCTGCTAAATCATACAGAGATATAGAGCTAATTGTGGCATAGTTGCCTGCCAGCTTTATCAGCTTCAAAACTACACACATTTCAATAGGTTAAAAAACCTCTTTATTTGTATTGCAGCAAGACCAGTAGAGGTCATGATGATTAGGGGCTGAAGCATCTCTCACATGAGGCCAGGCTGAGAAAATTGGAGCTGTCTAGCCTGGAGAAGAGAAACTGTGTGGAGACCTCATAGCAGGCTTCCAGTACCTGAAGGGAGCCAACAAGCATGCTGGAGAAGGGACTATTCTCATCATGTAGTGATAGGACAAGGGGTAATGGGTTTAAACTTATACAGGTGAGATTTAGACTGGATATAAGAAAGAAGTTCTCTACTATAAGGGTACTGAGGTGCTGGCACAGGGTGTCCCAAGAAGCCGTGGCTGCCCCATCCCTGGCAGTGTTCAAGGCCAGGTTGGACACAGGGGCTTGGAGCAACCTGCTCTAGTGGAAGGTGTCCCTGCCCATGGCAGGGGTTGGAACTGGATGAGCTTTAAGGCCCCTTCCAACCCAAACCATTCTGTGATTCTGTGTATTTTATATATTGATAAGATGCTTACAGCGTACGTATGAGTGCTCCCTATTAAGAAAAAAAACCTAAACCAGTCGTGTATGCATTATGCTCACAAAATGTTCATGAAAGAACAACTGTCAAGCAGAAAACAGTTATATTTTATCACTTTACCTATGTCCTTATAGATTTTTTCATAGTTTTCCATTTCTCTCAGGTTCATATCGTACACCAGAAGAGTTTTTCCCATTGAAAATTCACACTGGGATAAAGTACTCAGCATTCGTTGGTACTGGGTATATCTGAAAACAGACAAGATGTTAATTTGTATGTATTCATTATTCATTTATTAAATATTTATTAAGCTATTTATTCCTAAGCAGCATGGCCCCCCTACCTTTACAGAACAAGAAAACAAACCGTCATATAGCAGAAGGGAAGTTAAACGTTTAACAATTATTAACCAAAGAAAATATTTCAAGAAGTCAATGTTTATTTCTTTACAAGTTTAGAAACACGGCACCCATTAACACCACCAGTCTGTCCTTGTAGCTGTAAAGTGATTGATCCAGGGGTTGTAAAGTTCCCAGCTTGGGCTGGCTCTGTGACCACCAAGATTAGTATTTTAATAGTGCACTGCTTCTCTGTACACACAATCACTATACTGAGCTCTCTGGGAATTTATATCCAGTGCTAGTAGAGATCCACAGCAGAACAGCACGTTATCACTCATCCAGTGCCACTTTAGGCTGGTTTGGGGGTTTTTGGTATTCAAACATGAAAGAGAACCACAGCAGCAGAATACCAACAGCACTCCCTTCCCTGACAGAACGACTGCAGAACTGCCAACTAAGATATCCGAGTCACAATCCTGTTACAATAAAGAGCAGGGCTCCCAGACAACAAATCCTGAGGGCACTGGAGCGGTTCTCGCAGATTAGATGATACAGCCCTGCAGCCTTCAGTGATTTCTGACCTGGCTCGAGTCCTCATCTCCTACCACGGAGCTCGGCGTTTGCACTGGAAGCACCACAGAGCAATTGTGAACAGCACATGTATACGTTTTAACACGGATCTTTTCCTAACGGATCAAGCCCGGTTTTCTGCTGAAACGCAAGCTAATCGGTTCCAAGGCTAAAACAAACAAACAGAAAACAGAAAACAAATACCCTTCCTCTTGAGATCCAGAATTACACCACTTAATGAAACTCTTCACCAACAAATTGATCCGCCTGTCGTCACCAGCACCATCGCCATCGATCAGAAGTCGCTTGCGGATAACTTCATCTGAGGGGAAAAAAAACCTCGTTTAATGCCTCACGCTATGGCAGCCGCATCCCCGAGCCGAGCGCGAGTTCCATCCCGGGCCCTCAGGGAACGATTCCCGGGGCTAAACAGGGAGGGTCTGCTCAAGAGCAGGCGCCGCAGGGCCGGAGCGCGCTGCTGAGGGACCCGGGCGGACAGGCCTGGGGGTGGGGGGCGCCCAAGGCTTGAGAGTGCCCCGGCATGAGAGGCCCCGGAGCGGAGCTGCGGGGCCGGGCTCAGGATGGAGGCCAGCCTACGGGGTGAGAGGCCGGGGGGCCGCGGGGAGAGGCCTGAGGCCAGGGACTCGGGAGCCGTTCCCTGTCGGGCGGGCGGGCGAGAAAGCCGGGGCTGTGAGGCGGCAGCCGGCGGGCGAAAAGACGAGGCGGGCCCGGCGCTGAGGGGAGCGGAGCGGGCGGGGGTCGGGGCCGAAGCCGGGCCGGAGCCGGGGCGCGGGAAGGGAGGGAGTTAGGAAGGAAGGAGTGGAGGGAGGTCTCACCGTCGGTCACGGCCCCCATGGCGGCGAGTGCCGGAGCCGGCGGGGCGGCGGCAGCAGCGAGTGAGGTCAGCTTCCCACAATGCAGCCGGCGAGAGCGGCGGCCATGGAGGGGGAGGCGGCGGCGGCGGCTGGGGCCTGAGCCGGCTGTCGGCAGACGCGCGGGCCGGCGGCGGCTGCCGCGGGGAGGGCCGGCGGGCGAGGCCTGCGCCCCGCGTGGAACCGGCCCCCTGGCGAGGAGCGGCCCCGCCAGGTGAGGGGCCGACGGGGGAGGGAAGCGGCGGTCCCCGCGCCCGCAGCCAGGCTCCACCTCCCCGCCCCCGCCACCGCGCCCCCGGCCCCGCCGCCCCCCCGCCCGGGCCGCCCCGCCATGCCCCCAGCACATGCTCCCTCGCCCTTCGACGCGCCGTGGCGGGGTGGCCGCCGGGCCGGGGTGCCCCATCCGCCACGGTCCTGCCTCCCAGGGTCCTCCCGGGGCCGCTGTTACCATCGCCCTTGGCTGCCCCCTTCTCCCCTCAGAGGGCTCCTGCGTGGCCTGGGGGCTGTGGATGGCATGTTGGAGCACATGGATGGTCCTCCTGTGGTGCCCAGCACTGAGGTGATGGCGCCTCAGGGGTGGTAGGACCCACCGTGGTGGCCGGACGGTCCTTGTGTTTTGAGAATAGCAGCGCCTTTGTGCCTGCTCCCTGGTAAGGGTGCAGAGGACGTGCTCATGGTGCCGGCATGAGGGAGCAGGTTGGCCTCTCCTGGGCTGCCCTTTGGCTCATCCCTGAGGGGAGACAAGCAGCAGGGCCCATGGTGTAAAATACATCATTATTCTGGTATTTTCCTGGCAAGTTTTGCTCTCACCAGTGGATAAGAACAAAAGTTGTTTCTTCCGACCCTGAAAGCTAAGCTGGCACTGGAAAAAAGGCTAGAGGTGTCTGGAGAAAAGAGGTATTAAGTGTTACTGATACTAAGTGTTGAATTTTGGGCTTTTGGTCCACAGACTTTGACACTTGGGCAGTGCTAAAGCTGGCAATGTTACTGTAGTATATATCATGGTACATGAGACATACGTCCAGAGCCTGACACCCTCTTACTCTCTTTTCATTATGGTTTGTACATGACTTGTTCTGCTCAGCACTTCGAACTGACAGTTTTAGGGTGGTGGGGAAAATGAGGGTAAGAAAAGAACAAAGTGAATGTGTGCTGTGATCTGTGCTTCCCAGGTTTTAGAGCTGGGAGTGATTATAAGGTGCTTTTTTTGTTCTGGATGGCGGTAAATACGGATTTGTAGATTGTTTCAAGCCAGTGCTTTGTTGTCAATAAGCAGCTGGTGAGGTTCTTTGGAAGGTGCTATTGGGAAAGCATTACAGAGAATGGTCATTAAAATTCTGCCTTAACTCTTGGGAATAAAGAGGTTCCAGCATAGAAAACCTGGATAAGTGATTTCTGTTCTTGAATTTCTTTATGTATTATTTTGTGATTTGTGAGTGATATAATGCATGTGGAAACCTAACTCTCTATTCAGTTATACAAAGTTTGGGCTGAAGAACAGGTCATGAATTCATGAGCTATGTAAGCACTATTAAAAATGCTCACTTTTATGAATTCTGAATTTATTGCCATTTAATATAGTTGGTTTGACAAAAACTTTTGGTTTTTTAAGGCTTTGATCACTATGATCCAGCCCTAGTATTTTGCCAAAGGGTGACAAGAAGACCTAGCTGAACTTCTCTTTACAGTGCGCTTTTTTGCTGCTTTTCCCTCTTCACACGCTGATTACCTCTTGGAAGTCTTAAGCATCTTGAAGCATCCAGTCCTAATGACTGGATGAAAAACTTACTGTTTTTCTTGTTTTCTTGCCCGTCTTTGAGCTCTTTCTGTTTTCTAAACCTTTTCCATTTCTACCACAGATAGACCATGATCTGAACTGTAGACTATTGCAAGTGAAAATCCACAGTTGTTTATTTAATCATGTTAGAATACTTTTGTGCTCTTTTCTATCATTTAATCCAATAGAATCTTTTCTCCCTTTTTGTTCATCATACCAGTGTTGATAAGATAGTCTTATTAAACTCTCTACAAAGATAGATAGTCCTTGAGTAATTAATATAGAATAAAGCAGTACATATGATTAGTTATCTAATGAATTTTTTGCCATTCTTGTCTTCATATGTGTTACTAATTACAAGGTTCTTGCAAATTCTCTGTCCTGGGTCTGCAGTTCTTAAGAACAATTTTGAGAACAAAGCCATTATTTTTCTTTTCAAGACAGGGCTTTATGGCATCTTCAGTGTTCATTAACTTCTCTCCTTATTATTGGCAAATAAATCACCAAGAAACTAAGGCTATGTATTGATGTAATAGCCTGTTCTATTCCCTGCTCTATTTTGCCATTTTAAATATCCATGAGATATTTGTGCCCAGGAAGCCAGGTCCAGCTTGCTGGGTTTCTCTATGCACTTGGGTATTTGTTATGTATTTGGAGTCTTCTTTCCATTTGCTCCAAGTGGAGTTCCCCATCTTGTATGAAACACCCCTTATTTCACATATGTGGAGTGTGTGTTGTGCTGGGCTGTATACCAGCATGTTTTTCCCATTAATTCAGTGTCATGTATAATCTGGATCTCTGGAGCAGGCTTGACCTACTCTTACTTATTTGTCCTTCATCAGTTCTTGTATTCTGTGCAGACTCAGACTTTTATATAATCCTTCAACTGCCTAGCAGAAAAACTGAGTAGCATTGAACCTTCTTAGGGCATCAGTATTGGAGAGTCATGCAGTAATGTCTTGCACAGGGTATAGCAAGGGTAGAGCTGTGCCAGCTCTTTAGGAATAAGTACCTGTGTGTGCAGGCTTACAACCAAGCTAAATGTGATGTTGTTTTCCCTCTTCCCTTGAATTCCTTTATGTGTGCCGTATGGTAAGACCCTGAAGCAGCTTATACATAATAATTTGTTGCACACCTGTCCTTGTCAAAAGTGTTAAATGATCCTCTGTAACGTTTCCAGGTGACTCTGGATATGGGAAGTATAAGCTAGGTAAGTTTAGTACTGCAAGATGATACATGTGTGTGGAACTGGCTCAGATTTTTCATTACTGCCCTTTCTATTTTGCTGGAAAAAATGGCTTTTAAGTACACCTTTTTATTGAGGAAATCTGTTACAGTTGGAGTTTTCTTTCCTAAAAAGTAAATAACCTACGGGAGTCAAAGTTTAAAGTGACTTTATACCGCCTTCCCTTTTCTTTAACTCTGTATATATGGGTTTTTTTACAACTGTAGAAAAAGTTAAAAGGAAAGAAGCTTTTTATAGTATTCCAGGCTCTAATGAGCTATGATTTTAGGGCTGAGAAAACAGCTTTAACTATTGATGAGGTGGATTTCAAATATTTTTCCTAAGCCTCCCTAATAATTTATGAGGTGGTTTTAGATTCCAGGTTTTCTTCGTGTTGAATAACTTGTAAATCAGACTGGTGTGTGGCACTAAATCTTACAGAGATCTAAGTATAGTAGGTCAGAAACTACAAGGTATTTTTATCCAGTCCAACCTATATTCTTGACAGAAAGCCATACCAAATCTATTTAGTGAGACCTATTTTCTGTAAGCCTATGTTTCGGGTTTCTTTTTACCACCATCATTTATTTCTTTGATTGTATACTATGATTTTGGGCAAGACCAAATCAAGCTGGTGTCACCCTGCTGTCCTGTTTTAAATCATGTTGGAGTGTTGGGTTTTCTTTGCAGCCTTCTTTAGCCTCACTTACTGAAAACTAACATCAGTGTTTCAAGAGCTTGTCATCTTATCCTGTAAAAATTCTTAAGACACTTGTGGTCTGGTTCTGCAGATTTTAAAACACTCACTTTTGGCAGATAAACCTGAAATATTTCAATTGAGTGATAGGGGCAAAGAAGTCGTAGGGTTTCTATTTTACTTTTAGACACTCAGCCATGTGGTTCTTAGCCTTGTAAAAAGCTTTCCTAACATGGACCCTTGTGTTTCTGCAGAGCTAGCACATTTTCATTGAATTACAACATAACGAGAGGAGGGAGAGTGCAAATACTTGTTGTGACTGTAGTGACAAGAGCAGTAATTTAAAAATGCAACATTTTATTACGGGACCAGTAATCAATTTTTCTATCTACTGCCTGTGTTACCAAGACTGATTAAATGGACTGTTAATACCATACTTTAGAAAGCAGATAGTAATGGCACCACAAGTTGTGGGCTACAGGATCGTGTTTGTTTCTTGTTTTTTGCTTTGTAACTGGAAGAAGCCTATAAAATTCCAGCATTTTTCAAAAGAGCACTTTGTAAAATGCAAGTCCTGGAAATATTTTGTTTATTGGAAAGACATTTCATTACTACTTTTCTCATGAAGGGAGACAAAAGCTTATCTTAGTCTTAAAAAATAGTGCTGCATGGACCTTTTAGATAATTCTTCCTAAGGGCTCTGTCTCTTGGTTAATCTCCATTTTAGAGGTGGCATTCTGATGTTGACCTTTTCCAGCTATCTTCACAGGAATTATGCAACAGCTTTCTACATCTCATACCCGGATCCTACTGAATATTTATGAAGCTTGAAGATCAATTATTGTACATTCTGTCGCTAACTTACTAAAGCTTGTCAAACTCAAGGTGAAACTACAGGATACTGGAAATTTAGGTACTCAGTATAGAAAACTGAGCTTACAGGTTGGTGGGATGTGCCCAGCAAATGGAAGCACGACTTGCTTCTGTGTCCAGCGGTGCTTTAACTTAACCAGATGGTTGAAGTGGCACACTGGATTATGATAGATATTGCCAGTGGCTTGGTAGATTTCCGCTTGGCAAGAAAGTCAAGGTGTTTTAGCAGGTATCTCATGAAACTGATGCAAGACAGATTAGATGGTCAGATAGTTCTAAGATGGTTAACACCATAGGCTTCAGCTGCCTGTGCAGTGCCTTGGAGATCCCACACAGTGTCTGTATGCTGGGATTGAAAATGACTGTCAGGTAATTTTAGTCTGTGTTTTTGTGTGTTTTGTGAGGAAGCAGCCGTTTATCCTTGCGGAATGATTTTTGGCAGCATTAGTCAGTTATCTAGTAGCCTCCTAGTTTGTTGGCAGGATGTTTTCAATGTGGCTTTATTTTATTTTTCTGAAGAAAAAAAAAGCGCATGTTTTTCTTTTT